TCTCCAGTCACGATCACGATCGCGCTCCCTTTCAAGTCCACGATCACGATCACGCTCTCTCTCGCGTTCTCTATCTCGTTCCATACCATGTTTTGGAGATTCAGAATCATTTTTTCGCTCGGAATTTTTTACACCCCGCATTATGAATCGAGCTGCCGCTTTGTTATCTATTCTTAAGGTTGGTTTTGGTGGATTGACTGTATGTTCTATTTTCGTGCCGTATTGTAAAACGCGATCCTTTACAATAATAAAATTACTGATCATAAGTTTGGATGTTAGCACAATTAAGCAGAATATTTCGCAAAAAAAATACCGTTTAATACCATTTGTTCTTTTATTGGATGCGGTGCTGATGGGTCAATCCCACAAACTCGAAGATAAACTGACAAGATCAATATAAAGAAATGTTGTATTAAAGGAGAGGCGGGTAATTGTATTTCAGATTTCAATAAAATAAAAGTTAAATCTATAAATTCGAAATCTTAACCACGCACTCACACACACACACACACACACACACACACACACGCACACGAGAAAAAAAAAATCCAAACCATCCGTCTTTTCACGTACTGGCTATTAACGAAGTAATCATTTGTGTATGCATCGCGTGCAATTTTGCCCGTTCAATAAGATCCAATCTCGCGCCAATTTCACTGAGAGGAGTCTCAAGAAACGGCGTTAAAGTCGAAGCAAGCTGATCTATCGAAGCACCAAGTGTCTCGTCATACTCGCGTAGATCTGGTAAGTCTACTAGCTGGTTAGCGCTTGATTTAATACTCGACGTTGCGTATTGCGTCGAAGGTAAGTCAAAAGATCTCTTGGGTGGAAAAGACATTATATGAGAAGAAGCGTTATTTGATTTACATTGTTATACTGATCAATTATTAATTTTTAAATTTTGCCCAAGAATGGACTATTGATTATAAAATCCACTTTTTAAGTTATTTACGTCAATGTTTCTATTTTAAAAAAAATATATATACAAAATACTTTGGCACTTTAACTAGATTACAATTTGGCCAAACCAATTTATTATTACATTGTATAAATTTTTAATTTTTATAAATTGGCCATCTTGTAGTAGCATTATTTGCATTATTATATCACGCGGATTATTTATAGCATCTAAAAATTTTGCCATTCAAAAAAGATATGCTAATCCCCCATTGTAGATAAAAATTCTGATAATGATTTGATATTATATTGCAAAAGATGGTATTATCAAATGCACACTAAATCATGGAGTGATTCTTAATGCAATAATTGTTTAAAAATTAAAAATTTATCTCAATCGATATTCACGGAATTCGCAATGTCGAGAGACAAAAGTTTGAGAATGTTAATTATACTATTATCCTAGAACCATATTCAACTCTTCAACTGGGGGATCTAATATTGGTTTTCTTTCAGGAAATAATGGTACATCTTGCCCACTAAAAAAAATGTCCTCATTCTCGTCACTACTATCTCGAATAATCGGTAATGATTTACAAGATGATGCGTATTCGGATTTCTTTGATGGATAAGCTGTAAATAATAATTGAGTAGGTGCAGAGCGGGGTGATTTTGGAGGTGAAGGAGGTAATGTTGGTGAAGGAGAATTTCTTTGGGGTGTGCTCGAAGGTGAACCAGCAAGTGACCCTGATGGAGAACCCAAAGGAGAACCCGAAGGTGATGAATTTTCGGAAGATACAGCTGAAGCTTTGTTCCTCGGCTGTGTCGCACTTATTGTCACTATTGGAATTGGAGATGATTTAGATACTTCTTCGGATTTCTCATCATTTGCCAGGATACCGGCGATGCCCATTCGCGAAGATCTTCGACGAATGGACATGGATCGTGACCATCTTTCAAATTTTGAAGGAGCTGAAGATGGAGAATCTACCAAATAAGGATCATTTGAAGGATCTAAAGCATTAATAGTATCCAAGGCACCTGGAGCACTTTTCACCGAGCTTGCATCATCGTTACTCTCTTTGAATGATGGAAGTCCCTTAGTTAATATTGATGGAGGTTTAGATGATTGATTGTTCGTAGTTTCTAATTCAGGTAACATTGTCTTAGATTTTAATTTGTTTTTCAAAGATACCGGAGTTGTTGATACATCTAAAGATTCGGTTTTCGAGGATGGTTGTTTTACGGAATCTGTCTGACATATATCGCCAGGTGGCTTTGTTGGTTGATTTTTATCTACTTTTTCCCCCATTGATTCAGTACTAGTGCTCGAGTCATGCTGTTGAATGTCGGATGGAATTGTTTCTTTATTGTTATTACTATTACTGTTATTGGTATTGTTAGTATTATTAATATCAATATTATTACTATCGTCATCTTTTATAGATTCTTCTGTGTATACATCTCCTCCGTAAATTCCACCCATGCCAGAACTCATAAAGAAAGGAGTATCATCCATATTTGGTAAAACTAATGATTCCATAATCATTTCTTGAATTTTAGATTCGATGGCTTTGATGACCATCGAAAATTTCAATTGTGTTGTAGAAACGACAGGTTCAATCAGCAAGTCCAGCTTTGGCATCTCATGGAAACCCATCCAAATCCTATTTGAAGGTGGCGCCTTAATGCGTAGCAATAATTTACCTTGAAGCCTTCTTAAAACTACTGCGAGCACTAATGGCACTTTTATCGTCTTGAATCTTGAGAACGATACGGTTGCTTCTGTTTCGATTTCAACTCGGAAACCTCCAGTGTAATCAAGATTTATGTCAACGCTTAGATCTCCATTTGGTGCCAGCTCTCCTAATTTGGGGTTAGTAATGAGCGGGACACCACTTCCGACATGTACCGACTTAATGTGAATATCACCCAAGAAACTTGGTTTTTTCACCTTCTTTATCTTTTTTACCAACTTTTTCACAAAGTAATCTTGGATTGTCTGCGTCTTGTAAATTCCCAAGAAAATTCGACCAAGAATAGCATTAAGCCATTGAGTTTTGTAGTGTTCGTCATCTGAATGAATGGTCTTTAATAAATCGCTCATGGCCGCTTGATCAAATTGAGCCTTATCTCGAACAACTTGTGGTTGTGGTCCTGGTGAATTTGATTTCAATTTCGATGATTTTTGCAATGCAAAATACCAGTCTTCTTTATCGACAGCGACATCACAGAATAGATAATAGTCCCGATTGTCGATATCTTTTTCCATATCGGCGCATATCGATTGTTTTTTCGTCAGACGAATTGAACTCGATTTCAAATAGATTTCATTGTCCGGTAAAAGTTCAGGATATATTGAAACGTCATGATGTGAAACGATAATTATCCCCTTGCATTCTGTTTGATCTTCGCTTTCGTACATAAAGAGTGTGTTATATTTTAATACAGCAAAATAAGCGTCCTTTGGTCGTTTTGGGGGTCCATGTTTCTCCATAAATGAGTAGATTCCTTGTTTCATCATATTACCAAAAGACGATCCATTATTCGTCGCTCCCCCGTTGCTCTGAAATTCTCTTGTTACGCGCAACCAACCAACCTTATTCAAATTAGCATTATCCTCATCTTTGCTTCGTGTATGCGCCTGATCATTAACGTAATTACTCTGATCTTGTATCTCTTCCGGTGATGTCACATCGAACTTTATTAGGCGTGACTTATCAGGCAAAAAACGATATTGAAGATAGACGCTGAGAAATATTGATAGGATTAATAATGGCAAGAAGGTAATTCCGCCCAAGCAATATATTAAGATTAAAGTCCCTGGTGAGACGGTCATTTATGTAAAAAAAATGTCTATAATATGTATATTTTAAAGGATGAGGTTAAACTATTTACAAGATGCGGAAGAAAATGGTAAATTGTGTATGTATTCGATTTCTAAGAAATCAAACTTTAGGAACGCAAGTTTGAGCGCGATCTCGCGGCTCAATTTAAAATTATCTTGGCTTCCTAAGTAAGAGTATTTGATAAAAGTTAAAAAAAAAGTATGAATTTTGGGTGAGAAACCAAGCTATAAACCAGCAGACACCCTCAAGATGAACAGATTGAGGCTTCAATGAGATAATAGTTGTAGTGATAAAAAAGATAAAGAAGAGAAAAAAAGGTCTTGAAAGAAAAAAAAAAGGCTGTGCTATGAGATTTGTTAGAAACCCGGAGATCAAATGGCGCGAACAAAAAAAGGTATACGAAAGAAGTGCGATAATTATTGTAACGGTAATATTTGGTTGGAGTTTTTTCAAATCATCTGATGAGGGTGATGATGATGGTGATAATAACTAGCACCAAAGTTCTCATTGTCGATGGGGTATTTGTTTATTTATGCTCAAAACTGGTCACAAGGATTACTTTTCGCATAAAAAAGTGGCAAAAATGAATTTACACCATGATGATTTCTTGCCCCAAAACCCATTATTTTCGTGAGAATGTTAAATATTCAACCAATCGAAATTAGGTTTCATACCTGTCTTGTACAATAATGAAAACTATTGTAGATATTTTTGGTGGTGCGTTACCTTTTTTATAACTGTTGCGGGTTGTGTTCCGTGGAAATTTCGGGATAAAATTAGATATTTATTTCCTGTTAATTTTTTTTTAATTTCTTTCGGTCGATCTTTATTAAAAAAACGTCATTATGAAGCAGATCTGATCAAAAATCGCATTTTGAAGCGTGATAATAAAATAAATGCGATAAATATTATCAAAATAATTGATAAATAAATAAATAAATACTATCAAAAAAAATGGGAGAAAAAAAAATACATTTAGATCATGCATTTTCTTCTACTTTGATAACTCTAATTTCACCCTCAGTTTGAGTCATTTGGATTGTAGGTTCATCCTTCATCTCGATAAACTTGGATTGGAACTTCTTTCTCAATATAAATGCGAATCCAATCACGACAAGTAACAAAGCGCCAATACTACCGAGAACAATGGCAGTTAACTCTTTTGTTTTTTTCGAAGGCGAAGGCGAGTTAGCATCTTCATTATTTTGGCTTGGCTGTTGAGTTTTACCAACCAGGAAGGAACCTGAAGCATCACATGTAGAAATAGGCGCAAACAATGGACTTTGCACAGCCGACGAAACTCCACAATTTTCTGCTGCTAAAATTTTTGGGTTATCGGAGGCTGAAAAATTTTCCAACCAAGTAGGCACATAATCTCGTTCATAAGTCGGATACTGAATCGAGATTAAATCACGTAACACAAGATCTGGACGGATGCTTGAAGATCTGGACCAATCATCGTATCCTAATTTATTTAGTAATTTGTCCGTCCGATAGACTCGGCGGTTATCGATGAATGCTGGTAACTTGGATCTATCATTGTTGGAATAGCCGAATACTTTTAACCATTTGTTGTATGTGTTGGTGGTTTCATCCGTGATTGGTGAAAGATCGATCACCAGATAAGCATTTGATATTGCAGATTGAAAGCTTGAAAGTTGGGAAAAGTTTTGACTAGAACTCGATATAGGTATTGCGCCTTGATAAGCGAAAAAGTTAAAGATTAGTAAGCTAGTACATTTATTGTTGATATGCATTTCGTTCTAATACAAACCAGCATTTAACGTCAATTGAGCAAAATAGATATCATTCTTCACATTCCATTCATTAGCAGCAGAATCATAGGCAACCCATGCGATAGTGTACTTAAACGATGTGGGCACCGTATCCGAGTTCTGCGCGTTACAATCATAATTTTTCTGGATATTATTGAATTTGTCTGTTGCATTTTTCTCACTATTATAAAATAGGGAAACGAATTTTATCCATTCGGCTTTCTAAAAGCGATAGCAAAGAGGTTAATAAATATGACGAAGAAGATTCATTAGTCCGGGGAAATTTACCTGTAATGGATTTAAATCATTTCCAAGAGGAACAGTCACATATTTATCCAAATTTTTTGAAACACTAGAGAAAACGACATTGACCGAATCACTGGCATTATTGTTATTGTCACCAGTGTCGACAAATGAAGTTATATTCGCCTTTTGGATACATGGAGATGTCACATTTTCTGGATCTGCGATATATTGTATCGATGAATTGAGACCAAGGATCTAATATTTTAACGTTAGGTAAATAAAAGAAAAATAAAATAAATAGATAAATAAGGAAATTAATAGGAATAAGGAAATAAATAAATCCGTACCTCCAAAAAGGAAACTACATTTAAATCGAGACTAGCAACATTCTTTACAGGAACTTGTACATAACTTTTAACGTTAGTATCTGTCAGAGATATATTAGGGCGCGCCGAAGTACAATAAAGCAAGTAGGTTTCATTTGCCCGAATATTCGTCACGATCTTGTAATAGTTATGATACGAAACGTTGAACCCCGAGAGAAAGTCTGTATGTAAAAATGTTAAAGATATCAATATTGTATGAAAACAGAGTCGCTCCGGGAATGGGGGTTGGTCCACAGTATTATTATTAATAACTACCAACTGAAACTTTATCCGGGAAATAATCAGTTCCTTCTGTCCATGAAGTGGCACAATCCCCAGCGGGAGCAGAATCAACAAAAACTGTTCCGAGAAAGAAAATAACAAAGAATAGTATTGTTGTAGTCGTTAAAGTCATTCCGTTATGCATAAAGTAATACGTTATTTAGTCTTCGTTTATTGGGAACTTGAATTCAAACAAATTCAAAAACCTTGAGATTCGGCGTGAAACTAAAACTATGAAACACGAGACATCGTGTTATATATGCGCGACCATAAACAAAGTTTGTGTACGTAAAAGTAAGAGTTTACTATTATAGAAACACACACACATTGGGATATGATTAGATTTGGCTGATTTTACTGGAAAGCTTTACGTCATTGGGTTTACTTTATATTGTGTATTTAATTTCGCACTTTAAAAAGTACAAATCAGCAAGTGGAACCATCAGACAATTTCTTCTCAATTATCTTAACCCTTAATTAATTTTTTTTTCCATAGACGACGAATCTAATCGAAAAGGATCTGGCATCAATTTCTCAAATGTGATCTTTTTGTATGTGCGATCCGGTTTCACGAGGTAGATGGGGAAGTTGTCATGCACGAATTCGGTTAGAAATTGTCTATAAACGCATCATATCAGTAGTTAGATTTCGTATCATTTTTTTTTTATAATTATATTTTTCTTCTTTCCTTTACTTACCTGCACATACCACATGGAGAATTAAACTCGTTAACATCGCTAGGATAGAAGATTTCTTCGGTTTAATTCGAGAAATTAATTAGCTTAATAAAATAAGCGGACTTACGTCGATACTCCAAGCGCTAAAAATTTTTTTTGACCCTCACTCTAGATCGATCAAGAATACACCATCAACAAAATGAACACATACAAAACGAAAATCAGTACAAAACTTACAACAGCCTTTATTATGGCAGCGCGTTCAGCACAGATTGTTGCCCCTGCAAAAAAAATAAAAATTAAATTAAATTTTTACAAGAAGAAAAGTGATGCTTTTTGTTTACATAAATACGTACGTGTTTTGCGTGCGAATAATAATTAAACTTACCATAAGAGCAATTCTCAACGTTTACGCCTTGAATGAGAAGAAAGATTAGTATATGTGAAAGCAGTTGATGAAAAATTCTCATTCTCGCGCATACAATTTACCTGAATACCATTTCCCATTTTCGTCAAGTAATGCACATCCAACACGGAAATTCGAATATGGACAATACGCATTTTCTTTCGCTATTATTTACCGATGTAACAGTAGATGTTTGTTTGAGGTAATTTAGATTGAAAAGGTAGATATGATGTATTTGTCTAAGTGAGTTTTACCATTTATTGAAATGTTTATCAAACCATTGATTTCGTCGTCTGTAAGTTCTCTTGTTGTTGTTGTTGTTGTTGTTGTTGTTGTTGTTAGTTTAGAAGGAGAACCGGAATGAGGGGAAGAAAAATAAGCCATACCCTAAGCAACACAGAAAATGTATTTTAGGCAAGTATCTGGTTTGAGTATGCGTGCGGTTGATTTATTGGAATGCGCGAGTTGGGTAAATGATGCGTGTTTTAAAAGAGACCAGGATTTGATCACGATTATTTTTTCCCGGTGCTGATATTTATAATTTTATCAATTCATTTATTCCCTCAGACGTATCTCCCGCATAATCGCTAATCGATGGATTGCAAGTTCGATGAACCTATTTATAATTTTTTTCTTATGATTTTCATCCTATTCGAGGTGGTGTAACCTTTAATCATCCTGCGTAAATAAAGCTCCGGGATGATGTGTTCCTTTTTTCTTTCTTCTAAGAGAAAAAAAAAGAAGAAAGCGAATCAAGTTCATCATTTGAAATTGCAATTTGTAATTTCATGAATCTTTCGTTATAATGATGGGGGAACTTTGTGGTTAGAGAACGTGCACGATGATATTTATATTGTGAGATGGATGATGTTCCCTTCAAGAGAATTTTATTGCATAATGTTTAAATGAATATGATAGGCTGTTCTTTTTATGTGCGAGTATGTTGTTTCAATTTCATTATATCAATGTATTGAATACATGTCCTAAAACTTTTTCAGCAGTGAAAAAATTTAGATTAAAAAAAAAGTAGGTATAATAATCACCCGGATGAGGAAGGTGACAAGATAGGTATTGTTTGTTTGCATATGTAAAAGTCCGTCCCGTATGACGGCTAGTACAAAAAAAAATGATTTCTTCGGTTCGCACCTAATCTTGATCCATCTTTCGACATTATAAACCTAATAAGATCACCTGATTCAATAATGAACAAACACAAGAATGAATTGTGATTGATAGATGCATCGGCTGCTGATTCGCTGAATAATAGAAACTGAATCGTTTTTTGTTATATAGTGGGGGGCAAGTGAGAAACCCATGGTAGTATGGCATGAATATGATGATTGATAATGATTATGATGATGATGATTGATGAAAGGTTTGGTCGGTTGTCTTGTGATACTTGTATGTGTAGTGAGTTAGAAGGTTGTAATAGTTAGTAGTCATTCGAGAAAAAAAAACTCAGCTGTCGTATAGCGTATTTTTTGTTGAGTAGTTTACTACCACGGCCCCCCCTTCTCGCCTCCTGTGTCTATCTTCTAATTATCCGGTTTCTCATTTCTATATATTTTCATTTATTTATATCTCTGTCTCTTTGTCTCTCTTCTTCTCTTTTCTCAACAATTTCATAAATTCTATATTAATCGTCCAAATAAAAAGGAAGTAAGGGAAAGCGAGACGAAAAAGGTGTGATAGTTCACGATATTGACTAATAATAAATAATCCAAAAAAAAATTACACGCTGAGTGGGGTGTGTGAATGTGTGTGTAGGGAATATTTATAGATAAAATCATAAATAATAAAAAAAAGACTCCAAGTCGACTTTTTTTCTACTATTCGTTCCATCAAAAAAAAACAAGAGAATAATAGTTAATTATATTATATCACATTATTATAATATCCGTTGCTGGTCGTTCTACCGACACCACTATCACCACCAAACACGCACTTTATAATAATTATCTCTCGCGCACAAAAAATTCCACACTCAACACACACACACACACACAAATCATTCTATCTTCTTCATCCTTAACGCCGCGGGTATCATTTATACATACACAATTTATATCACAGTCAAAGTAACTCAGTAAGTTATTATACATACTCTATCTATACAATATTATACATTATACATACTCTATTATAAATACAGTAAAAAACGCTTAACACAAAACTTTTTTTATTTATTGTTACTTGTCTTTCTTTTGCTTATCGTGTCCCTTTTTTTGTTCTTGTGACGGGCTTTTTCTTTTCTAATTCACCGGTTGTCTACCAGTTACCTGTTTTCTAATCTTTGTTCTCTTGTTATTTGACCAAATAAAGGGTAAACATAAAGAAAAAAGAACCACCTACAAGGAGAAGAGGAACAATTCTTTAAATTTGAAACGCGGGAAACTAATTGTTTTCTTGGAGCAAAAAATACACGTAAACGAACTAAGCCTAAAGGAGCTGCGTTTGCTATATATCGATATTGCGGTCACAAAGTTTGTGGCGTTCTTTTCACACACGCACGCACACCCACACACATTGACTAGATATTCTATATTATAGAAACTGGTTCCTTCCCGTTGCTCAAAGAGAAAAAAACAAATTATAAAAAAGAAAAAAGACTTGTGTTTTATTAACCACATAACACACACCCTAACTACCAGATATCACATCACCCGGTCTTCTACCAGTAATACCAGTTTTGACAGTATCTTATTATAGTTTCAAGGATGTCTCTCGCTGAACCTGGAGAGCCTTTCGAATCTTTCGTTACAGCAAACTCCCGTCCTGCACTTGGATACTATGTCTCTGCCTCTGGATCAGAAGAGGAGGAAGGTACAGAGTATGTCGCAACACCAAGATATCCACAATATGAGTCGGATTTGGATGAACAAAATATGGAAAATCATCATATGGAAGGATTGACGTCCAGTGATGATGACGATGACGATGAAGACGATGATGAACATGAACATCAGCAGCAATATATAAGTCGTCCGAATGTTAATCCTCGCTTTGATGACGATGAAGAAATGGAGGATTGTTACTCACATTCAGATTCTGTTACTACTGAAGATGATGAGGAAGAAGATGATGATGATGATGATGACGAAAGAGTTGAACAAAATCGTCAGGAAAATCTAACCCGTCAATATATGGAAGAAAGACAGAATTTCCCTCGTCAATTACCACCAATGCAATTATCTCCTCGTAGTCCATCAACCTCCTCTATTTCAGCTGCTACTATTTCTTCTTCACCTTCCCCCACTCAAATTACCAATGCTCCTTTCCGACTTTACTCATCATCAAATTCTCCAAGAGATTTTATTTCGCTGCAATCCAATAGAGAATCACCTATATCATTGCCTCCAATATCAGATTCTCCCTTTATACCAGATGGTTATACCACTAATCAATCTGTCTCTTCAATGCTGCGATATCCCCCGATGAATCACAATTCAAATCATCTCAGTTATCCTCCAACCCAAAATAATACATCTAGTTTCTCATCATCATCAACCACCACAGCAACAGGGTCGTCTTCAACGACATCTAACAATAATACTAACGAACAACCAAAACAAAGCCCATTAAGGTTTGGCTACCCTGATTCGCAAGATGATGACGAAGAAGAAGAATTATCATCATCATCTACAACTCCATATGATTCGTCATCGAGAAAACGAGTGAGAACAAGATCAAATGATTGGGCTAATAACGGCACGAGTAATAGAAATTCATCACAGATTTATCATCAGTCGCATCATACATTGCAATTTGGTAGTTTTGCCCCTCGTGATCTCCATCATAGTAGTAATGGCAATAGGAGTTCATCATCTATTGTTTCTTCTCAATCATCAACTCAAGTACCTGCATCCGTTCCTTCTCAAGCTGTGTTGCTTCCTTCTAACCTACAAAGACCGCCACTGCGACATTATATAGATCTCACATCACAAGAATCTTCACCATCTGTGCCTTCATTTAATGCTAGTTATTCATCGTCGTCAACCTCACGTAACACAAGCTTTGTGCCATCTTTCCCATTGGGAGCGACCCCATCACAGTCAAGTACAGTGTCAAATCCAACATCAAATACGACAAATGCATCAAATACCATGTCAACTTCCACATCTTCAGCATCCGCATCTTCATTTCCTTCATCGCTTCCTCCTTTGCAACGCATGACTCCCCGTTCTTCGGCTCCCTTCACTGCCTATAGAACACGCCAGCCATATAATAATCTTGTACCTCTAGAACCATTAAGAAGATCAAATATTCAACATAGCTCTAATGATACCAATAACAATGACATTAATAACAATAATAATCTTAACAATAATAATAACAACAATACTAATAATAACAATAACAACAATAACAACAACAATAATAATATTGAACAGTCAGGATATACAAGTAGCTTTATCCAAAACAATGCAGAATTTTATGGCGGATCTGAAACACAACAAGAGCGTAATCAAACGACTGGCAATGTTCCTCGATTGCGATCTACCCCAAGGTGGACTCCAAGGAACAACGAATTACCAAGAGTGGATCGAGAAACTTTGATGCGAGCAATGAATGCCACTGTTCAGAGACGTCTGAATCGTACTTCGAATAATGGCAATAATAATCATCAATCTTCGTATAGCATTGGTTCACTGCAAGATAGTACCCTTCGAGACTTTTTAAGTGATGAAGAACATGATGTTCCAATTGATGTGCCCGATAGTCCTGAACCCGACACCACCAATAATCTCTCAGATCCACAATGGGGACGACCTGTAAGACGAATGACACAAGAGTTTGCGCGTGAACGACATTCCTCAAATTTCATTAGATCCCAAGCAATAGCTGCTGTTGCGGCCGCAGCTGTCAATGAAGCAACGGCAGAGGGTGCAAATACAACCTCATCAAGACCTCATCATTCCGGTGACCGTGGTTCATTTACAGACGCTGAATTAGCACGAAGAATGCAAGCTCAAGAGTATAGTGTGATGCAGAGTCAAAATATCGTTAGTAATCAAAGTTTACTATCATTTCTATCGAATGAAAAATTTGATTTCATGTTTCTAATAATATGATGTGTTTTATTTAGATCGATAACATGAATTCATTGGCGAGAATAATCGGAGAGAATGGACCTGGTCCTAGGTCTTCAGGTTATTGTCATCTAAAAAAATATGTTACAATATAATCAACGAAAATGTTTTTTGACATTGTTTATTTTCAATAAAGTGTCTTCTCGGCATTCATCAAGAAGAGAATCAAGCTCCACTACATCATCATCTGCACGCAGCAACTCTGCTACGCGAGAACGAAGTTTTCGTTTTCAATCCAGGCTTGCTGAACTATTTACCCATGATCACCGTCATCACGAAGAACGATCAAATGAAAGGAGTCGCGTGGGGATACGTAGCAATCAATCCAGAGGTACTAGACCTGGTTCACATCACCATCATTTTATTCACCATCATCATCCAATTTTGGGCGGTCTAATGGATGATATCGAATTAGAGGATCTGTTGGATATGCTTCCTGACGTTATTGGGTACGTCGAATATATTAATTTTCATGAGATCTTCACTTTTAGATTAAATACGATTTATTGACTAGGAATTACTCTCGCGTTTCTAGGAATGGGATCATGTCAAATCCTGATAATTACTTGGTAAGTTACTTTTTCGATTCGATTTATCTCGGCTGAACTCCTCGACATGAACTCTTAAATTTTATATGATTTAATTGAATATAAAGGATGACGATGATTTCGATCCAAGCTACGAAAACCTAATTCGACTTTGTGAAAGAAATGGTGATGTAAAACCCAAATGCGCACCAGAAGATGCTATAAATAGTCTGCCCACAAAGCTATACTCGGGGGGTGGAAAGGGCAAAAATTATGAAGAAAGGTAAATTAATATCTCTACATGGATTAGCTTTCTTTAGTGTCCCATCATCAATTGATTTGGATCTTTTTTGATTTTCACCAATAGGTGTTCCATATGCTTGACCGAATACGAGGAAAATGATAAGCTAATGAGCTTGCCTTGCTCGCATGACTTTCATAATGAATGTGTGGTCAATTGGTTAAAAAAGCACTCATCAAGCTGTCCAATTTGCCGACAACAAATTACAAAATCAGAAGACTAATATTTAAGCGAACAGTGTTTAATATTATTGCTAATGGCAAAAAAATAAATCAAAAATTTACTGGAATTACTATCAACATTATGTATAGGGCGTATTTATGGATGGATGGACGGATGGATGGATGGATTTTCAAACTGCAACAACACAACAATAACAACCACAAACAACAACAGCAGTAAACAGCAACAACACAATAGAATCATATTTTTTACTTGTATTATGAAAATTTATTATTTTGGGTTCGTGTTCGTGACAGAAACGAATCGAATCAATAAAAATATACACAATCTCAGTAAATTATATACATTAAACTATAACTTTTATGAAAAATCACATGAAAAGAATCTAGAATGACGATCAGTTTGTATAACTTGCGGTTCATTTTTAACGTATAGAATTTTAAATAGGCCAAACACTGAAATTTTGGCTAAAGTTCAAAACTGAAAGTTGACATCGTTACTTGCACGAGCTACATCATATCCGTATAAATCTTTTTGGCAAGATACCAAGTTAATGGCTTATGATGTCCTCACTTGTATTAACTGGTGTTTTCGTGATTTTTCTAGAGAAAACTTGTCGTACCCCCGAATGTCAATAAGGACAGTGCAGGTTACATGTAATTTATGAATTAAAAATTGACAAAGGCATCATTCATTAAGTAAAATTTATACAGAATTAGACACAAACAGAAACATATATGTATATTCTCATTCAAGATACGTGTATTTTGTTCTGAATGAAATGTTTGTGCTAGCATCTTTTCTAACCTTAAAATGGTAAAGAATGAAAAAAATGAAAGCTTATTCCTTATTCCCAATGATAAAAACATACATGTGTGTAATCTAAAAGATCGATTTACCTTTTAATTAAGCGGAGAACTAATTTACAACATCCGAAATTAAAGCATTCAAAATTTGGCTTTAAGGATACACCCATTATGTTGATATAATAATCCTTATTATTAGCTAAAGTTATTTCAGTAGTAGTAGAAACGGATTTAAGAAACATGATTTCACGAAATGATTTGTATGTGGTTCGCCAGCAGGGTCCGGAATTTCAGTTGGAAGTGCAAAGTATCGGCCGAGATATAAAAGAGAGGAATTCTATATGTATTCAAGTAATAAATTTGAATGTATCGGTTGTTCATTTTGAGAAATTCTTGAATAGAAATATGATAAAATTATATGTTATCCCACTTTTAACCATGCTAAAGATCTATTTTTACCTTGAAAGTCTTGTTAAATATTAAGTTTATATTACTTAATAATTAGTAATTTACAATATTAAAAACTAATAAAATACAAAGAACTTCATCATCTTCTATTATTAAATAATCTTTGAAATAAATTTCTTTAAATAAATTCATAACCCCTGTCAATGAAATAATAAAGCAGAAATTTAAAAGAAGGTGGGAGGATAGGGTAATATTGAAACTTGGTGAACCGAAAAAATGTTTCCTCGACAAGAGGATTTAGAGCTGAAATGACAAGAATTAGAAAATTAATATTTTAGCACTTTTAATCCTCAAGCCATAACTCCAGGCAAAATCACATTGTCGAATGATTTTCAACGGCGGCGTGACTATATGGCTTCAATTAATAACATTTTGTTTTGGTATACTTTCTTATTAAATACAGTGCTATATGGTATAATCCTTACATCAAATTTTAGAATTTCGCAAATTTTGACTAACTTTTACATAATTAAAGGTTATTTGGCATTCAAATTGAGTTCAAAATTCGAATATTTTAGATACACGAAAATCTACGTGTACCCAAGATTCGTGCATTTCGGTAGGATGTGTTCTATGCATGTATTACGGAAAAAGATATTATTGAATTGTGTATAAATCGTCAGGATAACCATTTTGAATGGGTCTGATAATACAATTCCGACAGCTCATAAACCCGACATTAAACGGCATCCCGAATGATCCCGAAACGAATGAACGATCCCTAATGAAACTAAATCCCATCCCGAACGAATGATATCCCGAATGAACGACATTTCGAATGAACGAGATCCCGAAAAAACGGCACTCAATGCATTACTAGATATTATTAGAAAATATCATTAGTTATATATGCTTTTCTTCAAATTTATTAATATATTAATTATTACATATCTTAAATTATATTTTTCTGGAATTTAAATTTATTCTTGTTATAATTAATACATCTTTAACTATAATATTACGATTTGTTAATTAATTAAAATAAAAAATTCTAATATAATTAGGATATAATACTTTAAATATTAGAATTATTTTACGTATAAGTTAATCAAATATATACTCGGATTTTTAATATTTATCAATAAAGAATGAAAGTCTTATTATTATCAATATGTGAATTTTTATGTAATTATTTATCAGATAATTATAATAATTCATGATATAAATAAAGAAAAATCAAAATCATTAATTGAATATTCCATATATTTTAAATAAAGCATATTCTCTTCCTTTTGAACTCAAATTCTTTACTATTCATCATTTATATAAAAGTAATATTTATTATATGTTATTTAAACTAATTTTCTTTTACTCAACTTGAGCTAAGATTTTAATATAATATCTAATATATTATTATTAAAGTTTTTTATATTTTTCTTATATATAAATATTTCTTTAATCACTTCTTTCTATATCTGATTACTTATATTCATCAAAATAAATAGTTTTTCTTTTTTATTATATTATATACTCATAAATACAGTGACGACCAAAAGTAATGACTCAGGGGCTAAATTTATTAATAAAACATAGTGAAAATTGAAATTTTCTCTCTATATTAAA